TTAGAGCTGATCTAACATGCATCCCTAAGATATCAACACCCATATACCATTGGCGGGTGGTGACTGTCTCTATAAGCTTGGACGTAAAGAATATCCCAGCGAGAACATATCCTTCATGAGGGAAAATCTCCTTCCCTCCAAGATAATCAACAAAGTAGCTGATCAAATAAGGACCCACATAGGACACTAGAGTATTCAACCCAGCAAAGACGGCATTGCAAGCTGCTTCTTTCCAAAATGATTTCAGAATCGCACGAGCTAAAGAAGGAGGCTTTGAAGGATTCTCGGATTTTGATCTCTTCCAATTCGACTTCAAGACCTTGTAACTTGACTTGGCTCTATCTCTAGGTGCAAGAAGCGGTATATCCTTGAGCTCAAGCGGTCTTTTTGAACCGGCCGAGAGAAGTGGATCCAGCCAAGAAAGTGTGATTAGGCTAACTAGTCCAGCACTACTATAAGGAGTAACTTTAAGACAAGCTGCCTCTTCTTCTACAAGCAAAGGCTCTTGGAGATCAGAGGAGCTTCGGTGAACTTGAATACCAGAAATGCCTCTCAAAGCCACAAAGCAAAGAAACCCAAGAGCAGGTGTAACAGCTAAATTGGCGACAACATGAGAAGAACATCCGCTCCAACCTTCAATCGCTAGCCTTCTTCCGTCCACATACATAGTACACAAACAAATCGAAAACGCTAAAAGCCACCATAGCCTCACTAAGAAGGGTAACTTCTCTGATGACTTGTATTTTAAATGAAGAACTAAGAAGCTAAGGACAAACCAAGCTAAACCCTGAGCAGCTGGGAAGCAAAGAACAAACCAGTCACTAACTTCTCTTATAACCTTAACCCCATCAAAACCTAACACCAAAACTTGCACGCCTAACACATATAAGCAGCAGAGCAGAGTCAGTTTAAATCCAAAACCAACAGTTACATCGTTAATCTCTCTTTCCAAGCTGGCATTAGAAGGTGCAACCGTATCGTCCTTGGAGAACCTATCCCTGCCTCTTCTGACGCAGACGAGAATCTGCCTGGCAGAGACATCAAATAGGAAGACAAGAAAAAGTACGAGGTTGACGAAGACCGAACAGAGTTCCAATAGTGGCAAATGCTCTCCGAAGATGAACGAGATCTCATTGAAATCCATGCTCGAAACGATTTTGTGTGAGCGAGTTTGTTAAAGATCAACAGGCGGCGGATACTTCGAGCTAAAACAAGCATCTCACTACATCCCAAAAGCGTAGCTGCAGAACAAAGGAGAGGGCGATGAATCTTATTTTCAAATGAGTATTGACACATTGCAAATCAAAACAAAATGAGTTTCTCTGCAAAACCCAACACGTAGGCAGAAGCGATCACAGAAAATACAAAAACACAAACAACAAACAAACAAAAAAAGGAAACACACCAGCTTTGGATTTGATCAAAATCAATAGGTCCCAGAGAAGAAGAAGAAGAGGAATGAATATGGAGAGAGAGAAGAAACAAATCAGCTGAAAGCAGACGTCACTTGGGTTCTTGAGAGAAATCGAGAAACCGTGAGAGAAAGAGAGAGACGAAGAAGCAGAGAAGATCTCTCTCCGCTTAAATCAACCCCAACAATTAAACACAACCAAAAAAAAAGCAAAAAGAGATAATCTTTTCTTCTCTTTCTCTCTAATCCCTTCTTTTAGCAAAGCAAACAAAAAAAAGATGCAAAATTTGTAGATCGATTTGGATTCGAGATTTTTATTTAAAAAGAAAAAGGTGCTTCCTTTGCAACTTTTTTTGTGCGTTTGGACTTACTGTATATTGCTTAATAGTGTGACAAAGGCGTAAGCTTTTTACTTTTTACTTTTTGGAGGGTGCTTGACGTCGATACGTCAATGTGAGTGCGTGTAAATGGCGACTTTCGTTTTTTCAATTGTCTTCCCTTTCCTTTAATCGAATTTAACTATTTGTATTATTGACCACATACAATAATTCAATAAAAGCGTCTTATCATTATTTTACTTTAAACCATTCTAAAGCAAGTGAATCATATTCCTCTTTTTTTAAAATTCGAGAGAATTTTTCATCACGTTTAAAATTTTAATGAAAACTGTCGTATCATTCAGAAAAGTAGTTTGAAACAATAAATTTGTGTTTTCTATAATAACATTTTAGCTACAACAATGAATGAGCTTACTAGACTGTAAAAAATATACATACAGTAGTAGTATGATTAAGCTGTGTATAATAAAAAATGACAAAGCTTTATCAAAAAATGAAAATTTTTATAATCTAATCTAAGGAGGAACCTTATTTACAAGTCCACGGAATATTCTCCCTACCACGTGAGTACTATGTGTCGTCTACAAGATTGCAATATCTTATATCAAATACAGTATATGACAAAAAAATTAAAAACTATATATTAAATGTCGGTTATTGCAGGTCTATTTTACAATTCTTATGGCTTCCGTGCGGTATATGTGTATATATATATATATATATATATATATATATATATATATGTTGAAAAGTTTTACAGTTCATTTGTTGAAAAAAAAAAAAAGTGGAGATGTATACGTTATCGTTTTCACTATAAAAAGAATGAAAACCCAATCTTACGTACGTATATCTCTGGTAACTGCGCCAAACAACGAGACAAACGAGTGTCAACTTGAAATAGTATAATAAGGAATGACTTGAGAGTGTGAAATTGGCTTTATATATACTCCAAAGATCCAATTACAACATACTTATTTTAATCTTAATTGAATTTCAATACGTTTGAATGCACTAGTGAAAAAAAACATATGTACCGTACGTACATTAGACAAATCATAATATGATGATGTACTATCTTGCCTTAACGAGAGAGTACGTGTGAGACTATTCAAATTTCAAACGAAATGGTGAACCGAACTTATTAATTAGGATATAAAAAAACTAGCTAATGGTATATATTATGGTGCATAGGTTTGCAATCAATCAATTAATAAGCAACTATGTGTGTATATATATATATAAGATCATAGATTTACATGAAACTGATGATTGTTTAACTAATTTCTGCCGGTATGTATGTTTGTTTGTTTATACGATATTCGATGTGCGGATGACGACTTACTACACTTAATTACTACTTCACATGCCATGCATATCCTACGTGGCATACCATTTTATAATAACATGATTAATGTCAATTATTGCTGACTATTATATAGTATTAAGAAATATTAATTATGTAAGCGAATGAAGATCATTTTATACAAACGATTAATAATATATAAATGCTGGTACTTAGCTACATGTCCCGATGCACGTTAAAGTTAAAACATCTCTAGTTACGTTCAGAATGAGGATTAAAATATTATTCGTTATTCCGCATATACTTTTCTCAAGTAGAATCAATCCTCCTCCTCACACTCAATTTTCATGAATATTAAACATTAATTCGACTATTAATGGATGTAACTTGTAAGAGTTGAGACGACGATGATGTAACAATCTCTAGAAGCCTTGAATTGATTAATGCTATTTATAATTTTGAACAAAAATAAAAAATAAAACTGTTGCTGTAGTTTTGTCATTTGCGTCTGTTCGGTATCGCCGTGGCTTTGTTCAAACCATTTTTATACCACTTTAATTTTGAGTTCACGCCAGCTCACTTCCCACTATCTTTCTTATTCTTCTTCTTTTTTTAATCGTTTTTTATTATTTTTATTTTTTATGCATAAAAACAAAATGGTTTCTAAAAAGATCGCTTTTCTTAGATGAAAAAAATATTATTACTAGTACGTTTCATGTATGTCGCTCACGTACGTACGCCGAATTGTTCCCTTTGAGGTCAAACAGACAACAACAAGAAAGGTGACAAACTAAAACCGTTTAATTAAGTTGAAAAATCATTAACAGAAAAATGGAAAAATACGCAAACTAGAAACGGATTTTATTCTATAATAACGTACTTAACCAATCCTAATTAAGAAGCTCTCCTATGGTTTGTGTGTTTCTTTGAAGCTTTACTCTAATCTAATGAAAAATATATATAGTAGGAGTCCTTAATTTTTTTATAATTTTATGAGATTAGGTCGGTAAAGTTTTGGGTTCCAATCCTATGTAACGTGCATAATGATAGTGGTGGTCCTTTAAGGGGAAAAAAAAAACAAAACAAAACAAAAGAAGAAGAAGAAGAAGAAGAAGAATGATAGCTAGTGTTGGAATGTAAAAAATAATTAATACCAAACACATTGCTGATCACGTGTTAGTTTGATATGTCGATAGATAGGATAGGATCTATAAGAGAGAAGTCTCTGCTGTATATATGGGTGGTGTGCCTAACACATACATATGTTTTTAATGAACCTAATGGCGGGATCGAGTAATGCATTGCAGCAGTTCACGTGACGTGAGTCTCTGTCACCAATCTATTGAGATGATTCTTTAATATATATATATCTCAATTCAACAACACACACAACTTAAACTCCTGTCACTATTTGGTACCGTGATTAGGTGGATACGTATTTAACAATCTGTACCAGAGACAGAGAGACTGGTCCAGAGATTATTATCATCAGTGTGTACGGGCCAAGTTAGGCCCGTTGAGAAGGACCCTACCTTCTTAATTTTCAACGATGGTAATATAGAAAGTTCTATGACTTGTCGTTTTCTTTTGATCTTTTCTCACCGACCTTTTTGCACTGTGTCCCCCACACCCCGCACACCTTCAAGTCTCCCTCTTGAGAAATTTCCCATTTTCTTCCTTTGTTGATCCAAAACTGTATTTACGGATACAATACCAACTGCATAAATGTACAAACACTGCCCCTTACTCTTTCTTCTAACCTCTAAGACCAAGAGCCCAGAGGTTTCATTCTTTTTAGGAAGCTCCTTACTCGGGCCCTTAATGCTCTCGGCCCACTAAGATTATTACGACCATACCGGGACGATCGTTTTTAACCGGTTTCGGTTAACGATAATAATAAACCGGTCTCTCTGCTCTCCCTCCACTGAGAGAGTCTAAAGAACTCGAAGCTTCTCTTCTCCTACTCCTCCCGTCTGCTTTAGTTCTAGGTTAATCGAATCTTCTAGTGTTGCCATTCTCAATGGCGCTATGGATGGACGCTGGGTCGGAGCCGATTACGGAGAGCGAAAAGGCTGATCTTCAAGCTATTTCTGCTCTCAAAGAATCCGCCGCCATCGAATTCAAAGTACCCCTCTTTCTCTTTTGGCTCTAAGCCTCCTGATTGGATGCTTCTTCTCAATAATTCTCTTTTACAGTGTTGCCTTCACTCTCTTGCTTTGTTATCTGAGATATTTTAGTTCGATTTTGATGTTTTATGTTGTTGAATTCTTATTTTATGCGTTTTTCTTTTATTCCATTCTTTTGCTGATGCAACTTCACTGGGAACGTCTTGTTCAAACTCAGGAACAAGGCAATGAATGTGTGAGGAAAGGGAAAAAACACTACTCTGAGGCGATTGATTGTTACACGAAAGCCATTAATCAGGGAATTCTAAGTGACTCAGAGACCTCTATTTTATTCTCGAATCGAGCTCATGTTAATCTACTATTAGGCAACTATCGGCGTGCACTCACCGATGCTGAGGATTCATTGAGGTTATGTCCTCAGAACGTTAAGGTAGCCACTTTTTGAACAAACATTTCTTTTCTTATTTCGTTTCAGCGTTTTGGTCGTTTCCCTGACGGGTTTCAGTGCATTCAAAGGCAGTGTATCGAGCTGCAAAGGCATCCATGTCACTGGATTTGCTGAACGAAGCAAAATCTTATTGCGAAAAGGGAATCAAGAATGACCCGAGTAACGAGGACCTGAAGAAGCTTCTAAAATCGGTGAATTCAAAGAAGCAAGAGAAGGAACAACATGAGGCTGAAGTCTCAATGGCTGTGCTTGAAGCCAAGGTTTGATTTACATGATAATCAAGCTTTAATACTTTAGAAGCCATATAACGCCTAGCATTTATTTGATTCAGTTTCTATTGGTTTTGTTGCAGGCTTGTCTCTCTGCGATTGAGAGCAGAGGCGTCAAGATTGGCAAAGCCATGTACCGAGAACTCACGGGTTTGAAGAAGCCAATGTTAGATAAAAACAACATTCTTCATTGGCCTGTCCTGCTTCTTTATGCAGAGGCCATGACAAGTGACTTTGTTGAGGACTTCTGTGAAACAGACATGTTTGCAACTCATCTTGATATGATATCCTTTTTCCACTTTCCTTTTGTTTTTTATTCTTGCATCTCATTCGATTACATCTATCCAATGCATTTTCTGTCCTTCCTTAGCGCTCTAAACATGTTTTCAGAGGACAGCCCGCCGCTGCCATGGGATAAAAACAACGACTACTCACGTGATGTCATTGAGCTTTACTACGAGGTAATCAGTTACCTCCTATTCCGCCAACAAATCATTCCTGTATAATCAATTTCTCGAACATCTCCATTGAAAAGTGATAGGACTCTATAGAATAAAGTGTGCTATAAGAAACACTAGTAGTAACATTAGGGACTTTCAACTTCTCTAGGCGAGTTCAGGATCTCCATTGCCCAAGAGTAGAGTTCTCCAGTATCTTCTAGAGGGTACAAAAGGTTCTCAAGCTGAAACTACAGGTGAAGAGGGCACAAGCGTAATTAAAACATCCTCCTACAGTAAGAATCCTAATCTTTTGTTAATATATGCACTTTGTATTGTCAATTCTTCTATATAACATATTTTCCTTGAATCGGGGAAAAAGTGAAAGGTTCATTGGGTATGGTTAAAGTGGACGAGAGAAGAACATTGCATGACTTGTTGAAAGAACCTTACATTATCATCCCTGAGATTCCAGGTTTGTTTCACATTGATGTCTGTTTCATAACACGTGCGATGACTACGTTTGTGTTTATTGATTTATCTCTTTTCTTGCTATTTGGTGTTTGTTGGTTACAGTCTTCTACATAGTATCTAAGAGGTCCAAATTCTACAAGGACTTTACGGCTGGCAAATGGAGTCCACCAAGTTGAAGAATTGAGTTATTATGAGAATAGCATTTCGGATTTTGCATCAAAGTCAAAATACTGTTTGGATAATCATGTTACCAAGGAAAATTTTAAACTTCTGCGTGTAATGTGCACGACAATAATACATATTTTGCAACTTAGTTGATTGTTTCTCGTAATTTTTAACAGATTCAGACAATGTTACCAATCAAGACCCAAATCTGTTCTCAGTTCTCAGCGAAAACAGAGGCATCAGATCATACGTCTTGATGGGACTTTTCCTAGGTAAGAGAAGAAGAAACAATGGGGACAAAGAAATCTTACAGAGGAAAAACGTGTTACAAACTTTTAGTTACAAAGCTACAACAACAAACAGAAAATATCTTTTTTTTTTTTTTTTACATTTTTCTGCAGTCATTTTAAACAACAGACTCAGAAACCTGTTTCATTTTTTTTTTTTTTTTTCAAGAAAAGAAGTGCCGCAAATTGAAGAGAGGCCATCCCAACCTGCGGCCCTTCACAGTATATAAGGAACGAAGGAAGAAGATACCAACATCTCGTGTGTGGATAGAAGAAAAGGCTTCCCAGGCTTCAAATCGCACGGTGAGCAAGCAGAATTGGGGGAATTGCCCAAAAAGAAACAAAGGGAGGTAAATAAGCCCGTGATGCAAGATCTTTTATGCGAGTGTGTATCGGTTGAGACCCAAAATTCTGCTCTGTCTAGCATTCTAATGCATATGTCTGCACCTGCGGTTCATATTCCGAATATATCATGTTAGTTCAATGAGACTTGTTTGCCTTCATTCATTTTCTTTCAAAATTATTTCAAGAAGATCAACCTTGACAACAATTCTACCTCAGCCAGATTCTCATCAGGAGAGCTGTTAGGTGCAGTGAGGTTGGATGCAGCAGCTGTGTTGTACCGGAAGATCCTTAGTTTTCCCTCCTGGATAAATATTGAACAAATATCAGTACAAGTAAACATTGTATCGCCAAGAAGAGTTTCACATTATGATTATAGATTATTTACCTTTGTTCCATAGACAAGACCTCCCCCAGGGGAAGGATGAAAGCAGGCAACATTAACTTCATCCTCTGAGCTTGGAAGTACTCTAACCAGTTCCATATCTGAAACTCTGTAAATCTGATGGAGTAGAAAAAAAAAAAAAAAAAAAACCTTTGTATGATATTTCAAAGTGTAAGACATAAAATGGGATATCCTATCCTTTTCTATTGGCCTATAGATTCATAACTATGGGAGCATAGACATACCTCCAACACTGTGAAAAAGTGTGATGTTGTTTCTCCATCACTCACGATGCTCTTTAAAAGAGAACCATGGCGCCGACCATATGCAAGCAATATGTGCTCGGAGTTTGGTGAGAACTGCACGGAAATTTTTCATCATAAAGCATTTCATCACAATAATAAAAATTAGTGAACAACTTAATTAGTGGTGATAATCTCAAGGCCCTTTGCAATAATGACGTACTTAAACAACCTTGAACGATGTTAATCCAGAAAAAGTTGCAATATAGACTTATGTCCAACAAATATACCCAGCCCAATAATTCCCGAAAAGTGGCTGGCTAACCTGGATAGAGGTCAAGCAATGTGCCGCCCTAATTGCCCGTGACACAAGTACTGATCCAAATCTGTAGACAAACATAGGATACTTTCTCTTGAGTTTTCAGTGTATGAAGAAGGTAATAATTACGACCAGAAAAACAAATTGGAAGCAGCACTTACGATTCCTTTTCGAGAGAATACACACGAAGTTCATACATGACTTGATGTGCTGTAACTGGATGTCGAGTAGGGGAAGTTGCAAGCCCCGAATCTTGTTGGACCAGCGTCTGCAAACCGGGATCTGTCTCGGAATGAGGAATAACACATGCAACACACGCTGCTAAATATCTCCCGCATGGTGAAAAATGGGCTCCCATCTCACTGCAAAGATAATTACACAACATGAATCTCCACCAAAAAGAGAAATCAAACATCAAGATCATCTAAGTGTAGCACAACAATATTAAGAAGATAATTTTTACCTGCAAAGAACAGCATGATGTATTGTTATTCGACATTTATCAGACTTCAGTATTGCACATGGGTCTTTGATGTCATGTGACCACACTCTCAGTTTGACAGTACAAGGCAACTCTGCAGCAGCAATTGAGGTAGCCAGTTCAGATGGAATTCTGTTTACCACTGGCTGAGTTTCAGTTCCTTCATGTTGAGTGTTACGAGAGGAGAGACCTTCTGCTAAACCAGATCCTGCGAAGCGGGACTGTAGAATTCGGTCCCGTGAATCACCTCTTGCAGAAACCCCATATAAGTTAACACCACCAGGAATTTCTAATGACGCTACTGCAGCCTCTAGACTGGCTGTGGATGAATGAGATGCTGAAGACGAACCCGTATAAGGAGTTGAATTGACAAGACCACTACTACCACTAGGAAGAACCACTGAATTGGCACCAGCTTGGCTTTGAGCCATCAACCACCCTTGTAGAAAAGGTAGCTCCCAGGAACCTCTGTCTCTAAAGTGAAACAACTGCTGAAGTTGTCCAAACTCGAGTAAATCTGGTTGACTTGAAACTTGACCAGGAACTCTATTTCTTCCAACAGGTTGAGCTTCATCTACATCCATGGCATCAACTGCAGTGGCAGAATTTCTAGCTCCAGCTTGAGCAGCAAATGTGCTGCTAGCAGAGTTTTCTGGAACATGATAGGAACCAGAAAGATCACCAGACATAGCCATGGGAAGAGGAGAAGGTGAAAATGTTCTGCTGCCATGTTCTACAGAACTTTGATTACTCTGAAACCTCGATTGTGCACTCCTTGAACCAGTAGTACCAGTAGAGTATTGCATTTGTGGATCATTAGCAGAATATGAAGGCAAGAGCAAGTACGGTAATGGCACAAGTGGCAGTTCAGCTGCCAAACTGGTACGACTGCCACTTTGTGTGTTGGTGAAGAAAATAGCAGGGGGGGGATATCGTAAATAACCTGGAGACGTTGCTCTTGTCATTGCGGAATCTGATGAATCAATGTCAGTCACCTGCCATTTGTAGTTTATAGAGTAAGCCCACAATGTGGCAGATCATTAACCCAAACTTCAAGCTGTAGCTTACCTCTGCAGTCAAGAGAAGAGGAACCCCATGTGGATGAAAGTGTACAGCTCTCAGGGAACGCCTTGTCTTCAAGACAATTGCAGGTGAGGAATCCTCCCCTATCTTATTATAATGCCATATGTGCAACTTCAAAAAAAAAAAGCATTAAACATAAGAGACATTTGAACAGATAATTTATTCTAAAAGGCTTAGCCGCCTGCAACTAGCTAGCATTTCATAAGAAAATTAAAAGGTATTAAGATACCTTGTGACCAGATGCAACAGCGAGTAATTCACCTTCAGCATGGAATGCAATAGAAGCAATAGGTCGATCTGTTTAAAGAGGACAGGAAGAGACCAGAAGTAAATTAGATGAAAAAGTAGAAGAGGGAAAAAAACAAAGTAAAATTCTGCCTAGCACTTACAGAAATCATGAGATCTAATACATTCCCCAATTTTTGCATTCCATAAGCGCACCTCATGATCTAAACTTCCACTAGCAACTATTTCTGAGTGGCGTGGATGGAATCTGACCTGCAGAGAACTCAATTACATTAGATAGTTAAGCAGTGGGTATAACGCATAGCAAATTATCTTTTCAAGCAAGCCAAATCAACTTAATTCATTGCAAGTATTGTCTCACTAGCTACACCAAAACAAAATTATAACAACATTGACACAAATCATTCAACCTACAAACCTAATGACAAAGATCACCACCGCCAGATTTCATATCAATGATTTAAGATTAGGAAAATTTAACTGGTACTTAGTAACCATGGTAAATCATAGAGTCAATAAAGTTATGAGAAAAGGTATATCAATCTCTGACTCACCACCCAAGGAGTCCTCCGATGGCCACTTAAAACTTTTAAGCATTTTCCTGTCTCACAATCAATAATCTTTACTGTGTGGTCACCACTACAAAATAATTCAAGTAAATCCCATTAGCAAACGGAAAAGGCTAAATTACAACATTTACGATTCATAAGACTTACTGTGTAGAAGCAAGAGTTCTTCCATCAGAGCTAAAAGCTGCTGCAATAGTCGACCTTGGAGGAGGTACAAGAGGACAGTATTTAGCAGATAAATGCTGCAATGACTCAGCCTCAACCCTACATATAAGAAAAGTAGTTTACATTCAGAAGCTTGAACGGAGTAAGGATCACATCATTCACCTTCACAGAAAAAACATCAGCGAAATAAAGGAGTGAATAAGAGATGAATGCAAGGTACCATGAAATAAGATTATGTCCCTGCTCGCTCACTGGTTCGCTGCTGGTTCCACACGACGAATCAGCATCCCATCGGCTTTCACCCCACCGTTTTCTTGGCACAAACTTTGTTTTTGGTGATATTTCCCTCTGGACAAGCAACTTGAAGACGCTTCTACACCTGAATAAATCATACTCAAACCATGTTAAAAGTGATCCAGTCAGATCGGCAGCTGACAGAACTAGTTTGGGCACGGAAAAAACATGACTGCAAGTTCAAGGTTCACTTCCAAGTTATACTGCTGTCTTAACTGCTGAAATTAGCCCAGAGACACCAAAAGCCGCATAATTTTCCATTTGAACATGATCAGAACGCCAAAACTCTATACTACATGAGATCTATCACTTGAAAATACTTGCATAGCTATCGTAAGATAAGATTCAGAAACCAGCACCGGAGTTATGAAGGATCTCTGAAACAAGCTTTCTAGTAACTTGATCTAACGGTGGATCTCCAAAACATGAACAAAGTAGTTGAAAGTTTCTAAAATTCTGAGGCGTCAGATGGTTCTACTACAATTCATAATTCAAACTCAAGTCAATAAGCAAGCTCTGACCTCTGGCGATGGACATTAGCCACTGGTTTTGGTGACGGTATCATCGACCGAGGAGAAGGTTGATCGTGTGACCAGATAGATTCCGTCATCTCTAAAGCCGAAATTCATATCAACACCCCTGTAAACCGAGAATCCATAGATGCGGCCAAAACAGGGGACGAAACCCTAACTAGACGATCTTAGTTTAAACAAGGCCAAATCGCCGATCTAAGCTGCCCGAATTTCCTCGCCGGCGGCTCTGTCCTCGAAGTTGGTAGAATTTATTCCGATGAAAGAGCGACGACGAAGAAACCTAAAAGGAGGAGGCCATAGCTGAGGAAGGTCTGCGACACATTAAAAGGATCTCCTTTTTTTCCTTCTCCCTAATTGCAAATGCCCTGTTCTTGATTATCTCAACACATTCTTTGGAATTTTATTACATACCCTTCTATTTTCTATTATTACAATATGCTACTCTCATAATTTAGAGATAGAGTTGTAACCCTATATTTTCCTCCACTGAACCAAATCTTTCGGATGGATCAATGAACATATATTCCTATCTGATGAAGCAATGAAAATGATTCAAAAGAGATCAAGTCCAAAACTAGTGTTAAATTCTGTAAATCGTTAATTTAGTATATGTATATCCTGCACACGATTTCTTAAATTGGCTGAGGAATGGATATGAAAGAGCTACTGATTGTAATTAATAAAGTCTTGGTAAATTCTTAAATTTAGTGAATCAATAGGGGTATTTATTGAATTATTGTCTTATGTCTATATTTTGTTTTCCACCCTTAAATAAGTTCTTCACGCGGGACCAAAAAGGAAAAACTACAAGCAGTTAGCAAACTTTTGTAATGAACAGCAAAGCATCCTAATCATTAACACAACAGCTTGGTACAATGCTTTAACCGGTTTGGTTTTTCGTTTATGTGTACATCTGTGTCTGTCACCTAGCCAAAAACAAATTAAACACATTGAACCAAGAAACGTGTACCAAAAACCTAAAGTCACTTAAAAACTCGGTAACACACTAACACCCTTGACATGTTCTTAAAGCAAGCTATCGGCTCTAGACGGCAACCGCCTAAAGAAGCTAAGCCCTCGGGACGGCAGTTTCCTCCTAAACCGAGGTGGTCTCAAATAATACAAACCGAAGACAGCCACAGTTAACTTAACCGGCACCGCATAAAACCCAACCGCGGCGATTAAACAGAACACCAAGAAGAGAAATGTAGCACGCGGATCACGCCAGCTCAGCAACGCTTGTACCCTCTCTCCCTGACTTGCCATGTCACCAACCACTGTCTGAACCCTCCCGGCAATGCTCCTAACTCGATCGTATCTCAATCGCACGACATCGAATCCTCTGCTTGTCGGAAACGTGTCAAACTCTTCGTCAAGCTCGTCGGGAAAGACAGTCTCCGCGTGTGAGATACACGCGTCCATGTGCGGTGGATTTCTAGGCCGCCGCCTGAAACGCCAAACGCCAACCGCAGCCGCGTAAAGAAACAGACACGGCAATAGAAGCTCCGGGAACAAAACCATAAACAAGAAAGCGGAAACAAAAACCGTCGAGTAAACCGGTTTAGTCCAACTTCTCATAACTTCGACCAATTTGGTAACCGCAACCAAACCGGAAATCACATTAACGAGCCTAAAAAAATTAGCTTTGCTTCTTCTCATACTCCAAACATGGAAATCGTGGTCGAGCATATATTCCACAACCTCACGACCCAAAGGCGGCTCAGCTCTACTCAGCCTGGCCGCAACCGCGTTTAGCGTTTGATATCGCAAACGTTCAAGCATATGAACGCCTAATGGCTGAGTATAATGCATCTTCGGAAGCAGTGGTAACATATACATCTGGAGCATATTAACAGCGTTACCGCACGATAGCCTAACCGCTAAATGAAGCTCACCTGTTTTCTTTACTCCAGTGGCGTGCAACACAATTAACGGATACGAATGTGTGTAAACCCGTCCTGTCTCTAGCGTAGACAACCTTATCCTAACCTTTCCAATCCGCGCATCCCGGGAGTTATTATTGTTCCCATCAACACGTGCGTTATCGAACACTCCGACGGTAACAACTGTGCACGGATCATTCACTTCCCAAGTATACTGCTCGTTCCACTTGGGACAAAGACTGTCCACAACGGTTCTTGTTCTGACCCATTTAGGCCCGTACTTAGCCACGCAGTATGAGTCCGCAGTTCCACCACATTTGGCGTCCCTAACCTTCATCGGCGTCAAACCTGTCGCACTAAGAATCCCAATCTCTAAAAGCCCAACTTGCGGTTTCCAAAGCTCTTTCGCGGTGGGTCTAACGTCGCTGCTATACATTGTTGCCTCATCCAGAACATGGTAGCCGCCATCTAGTGACAATCTAAGATGAATCCTAGAACCAAACCGGCTGTTGTTGTTACCGTTATCTAAACTAAACCATCTTGAACCAACGGGTGTATCTCCGGTTCTTCTCTCAACAGCAGAAACCGGAATTTGAACCCTCCCAACAGCCACATCGTTTTGTCCTCCCATTGCACCACCCACACGGTCCTCTACAATAGCTGTAACGTAATCCTCAAACGGTTCTGCAACCACAAACATCAAATCCTCGTTCCAGTAAGGATTCGAAATGCTCCGGGTAGGGCTTGCAGATGAGATTGCAGTTCGCAGAATCTGATTACCGACTTGTAGCTTAGCCGAAAGCTCTGGAAACCTAATGAGACCAGATCCTTTATCCATAATCGCAACATCCTGGGCTTCAATAACTGAAACCCTAAGGTACCATAGCTTAGGAGACAAGTAAACCTTTGATTTGATCGATGAGAGTCCCTCAAAGTGAACATTTCCAGCCTTTGAATGCCACGCCTCAGCGAAAGCCTCATCAGCTTGAGTCCCGAACCACACCGAAACCATAAGCTCTCCACTGCATCTACCTCCGTTTCTACTCTCTATCTTGTACCATTGCGGAGCCAACGGACTATCTGGAGGAACCCGGGTTGGGATTTCGCTTAAATCAAACCAGACCCGACCCGTATACTCATCTTTGTTACCTTCTTTGACGAAAAGCTCAACAACGGATGATTGAATGCTTTCTTTGGCAAAGGCAAACACTTGACTCCACTCGGGGTTACTCGAATTCGAACTCACTTTTTTAGTAACTCCCCTGTAATTACCCAATTTCACTTCCGACACCACCTCGCCGGACGCCGACAAGTCCTTAGCTTTCACGATTCGTACATAAAGGTACTGCATTTGCTCAACGAGATCATATGTCGAGCTTGTTTTATCCTTGTGACTACTCAAACCGCCAAAGCCACTACTACCTCCTCCTAGACGAGGCTTTGTCTCTTTAAGCGAAAACTCACTCGACCCGTTTGCGTAAATGACGGGTCCGGGCAATGGACCGGGAAGAGCGGTTATCACAAGAGGCTTTATCTCACATTGGTTTGGATAAAACGGTAGCATCTGCGGGTTGTGCTGTTGATTTCCTCTATTGTGATTGTGAAGAGCAATCTGTTGTTGATGTTGCTGTTGTTGTTGTTGTTGTTGAATCGCCATGGAAGAGCTCAGGTTCTGTACTTTCTTGCTCTTTTTTGGACCACCCGACCCGTTAACCCGAGGGACGTTTTCACTGTTCTCCGCCGTTGTGGTGATGTAGTGTTTGACGCTGATTTCTCCACGCACGGACGAGAAAAGGCTCCTCTTTTCAAGAGTGTAGAGCTGAACCACTGACTCTCCTTCACTGCCAACGCTGGAACCCAAAACCCTAACCTTACCCAGGAAGTTTCTGCTGTTTGAGGAACGCTTCTCGTTGTAAACACTGATTTCGAGGGTTTTATATCTGAGGTCGTTGACGTCGATGACGTGAAAGACGAGCTTCTCGTTCCAGATTGGGTTTAAGTCTTTGGGTTTGACCTTAGTGCGGAGACGTTGGTTCTCGAACTCGACTTCAACAAAAGGAGAGGTGGGCTCCCACAACCTCCACCACGAGCTTCTCGTTGCCGGAGCCGGTTTTAGTTCCAGTCATTACCGGTAAGAAACAGAGAGATAACAACAATGGAGAAAAGAGAGTAGAAGATGGAGGGGATTGAAAGAAGAAGGAAAGCGAAAAGACAGCGAGTGAGTAGAGAGAGGGGAAGATAAAGAGTGAAAAGAGTCTCTGATGGAAGAAAGAGACATTAACAAGAGAGAGCGTGCCAAGGAGAGTATCTGGATTTTATACTATTTTCTAGAAATAATAATAATAATATTAAAACTGAAATAAGAAAATTATACCACTGGTCAGGCTTTTACAATAAATACACTGAACAGAACGAACATAACAAGGAAGAGGGGGAACTTAGGAGAAAGGGACAGAAGAACAGCCTCGAGGATCACGGCTCGCTGGTCGCGCGTGGATTGAAACAACAACGTCTACTCAACCAATGACATGGCTCTGCGTCTGCGCTGCACTTACCGAATGCTTTTTACTTTCCTCCTGATCCATTGGACCCCTCTCTTTATTTTTCGTTCTCTGGTTTTTCTTTTATCTGAAAAGAAATTACTACGAAAGAGAGATTAATAAAAGTGTATATCACGCGCTGAGTGTAACCCGTGAGACGTGAGTAGTGGAAAGAAGAGAGAGGCTCAATCCTCGTGGCGGGTCAAACCTCAAAGGTCTATGGAACAGCAATTTGCCTCAAAAGAGTGTTTGTCAGAATGAACTACTCTGCATTAAATTGTGATATTCCTTTATTTTGACATTCTTCAGGATTTTAAAAACAAAAAAAAATTAGCTTAGTGTTTTTTTTTATAATCTTTCTGTAACCATAAATTACCATAGATTTTGAACAAACAATAATAAAAATTATCATAGATTATAGGGTTCGTTTTAAAAAAAAAAAAACCAGATTATAGGGTTTGTTTAAAAACAATAAATTTTTATCATTAAGGACAATTTGACCTATTAGAGTTTGTTTTCTTCCAAAAAAAATGGATTCATATACATTTAAATTCGAAACTAATTAAAAAAAAAAAACAAGTACGAGTACTTAGTTTAACAAAAAAAACAAGTACGATACTTAAACATTCGAATATCATCATCATCCCTTTTACTTTCCACGACCTCGAAGCATTGAAAAGGTTTGGACTTGAGTTTTGCAGGTTTGTCCTTGTCTACCTACATAAACGTTCTTCATGTTTATTTTTTAGAGTTCCAATACATATGTATTTTTTTTTTTTTTTTCATTTGTCATACTTGTGTTTTCATTTCAACTGCTGCATGCAATAAGTTTAAAAATCAAAACCAAAACAAAACTTCGTTCCTGCTAATGGCTACCACGTGGCAGCCACTTTAGTCCTTGGGAATCCTACATATTTA